TGGCTTATCATAACTATACTAACCTAGCGGAATTCGTGTTCCGGAGATGACTATCATTGTTGTGGCCTGTATGTTTACTTGCAAGTTGTTATTTTGATCTGCGATGTTGTTAAACAATTGACATTTGCAAGTTGTCTCTTGAAAAGTGGCTGCTTTACATTGGGGTTGCCGTAAGCAGTGGATTTGACATTGGAAGATGTTTGGTGCAATAGTAGTAACGAATGGTAAACAGTTTGAGTTAGCACACTGAAATTCCAATCCGTTCGTGGTTGTCATTGTAACGGACTTTATATCTTGCATGAGCAATTGTTCGAAAAGACCAAACAAAAGCAACATTGAAATTCTTATCCAGTCCATAACTATTGCAGTCAAACTTTCACTTGACAACAATTGTATTTAAAATAAAATGAATAGCATCTGCTACTAGTGGATGCCTTTTTATTCTCTTTTTTCTCTCTCTTCCGTAATAAAAATCTACTTTTTTCTCTGCATCAATAGTTTTAAGAAAAAAAACATGTCTTCATGCAATATTCAAAATTACCACATGAAATGTTCATAATGAGAACGGGCGTGCTGGTTTCTCTCAGACATTCTGAATAAGTCATGCGCTCAAAAAGCGCTGTTGTTGTATAGTGGCGGCACAGATAGTAGGCGAAACTGCACATCTATTTTCTTCCTGTTCAATGTAGGAGAAAAAAAAGAAATGAAGCAACATAAAGGAGAATGTGTTATTATAATGAATGTTTATCTAACGTGGAACATTTTTGCAACAGATTCGACTCTTCCAGGATTTAGTCGTTATGATATGCGGTCTAAATCTGTTTTCGTGCATTCCAAGTCAGAATTCGACGAGTTCTATCGATTCCAAAGAAAAATATTCGTAGATCCACGAAAAAATGTTTTTATCATTGTGTACCTTTATGATACTAGGCTATTAATATTGAAAAAGATGTAATGTACAATGAAAAATACCAGACAACATATAAATACAGTAATACTGAATTAATCAGCATAACGGCATCCATTATTACACAAAAAGCACGCATGGTGTTATTCAATTAAACTTTCAACTAACTTTTTTTAATGCTTGTAATTGTTGCTTATGACGACCATGTTTTCTATTGTTAATTTTTCCGAAAGTTTGACGCAAATTTCCAAATTAAATTATGACACAGCACAAAAGGAGTTGTTCTCCCGAATATAAAAAAAGCAATAGTATTAATATTCTTAGTTTAACAATTTACCGTTATCTAATTCCGATCACAGCCATTATACGATTAACAATAGTGCGTTGTTCCTAAGTGCATTATCTGTTTTCTACCATATCATATATGACATAAAAATCTGCTTGGACAGTCCTGATCTGTGCTCGTCTCTGATTTCATAGTTACATGTCGAAATATATGGCTTCCATTTCCATAAAACAATTTAAAATTTCCCTTAAAAATTACATTGAATGTCAGTATTTTATTATTTGTGTGTTGAAATATTTTCAGTACTGAACGTTCCATCACACATTCCTGACATTCTATTTTCATTGCCTAAAGTCATGTTTTATTAATGGCACATCATTTTAATAAAAAAAAAAGAAGGATCTCTCCGTAGAATTTTTTTTAGTTGGATTTTTCTCTTTTAAAAGAACTCAAAGTCGTAATACTGAAGTAATAAACCAATTGAATACGGTAACAGCTATACTTGCACTGACCGTATCATTATTTTATTTTTTTCCTGGCATCATTGGTCTTATATTGAATATATATTTGTTTTCACTCACTCATTTCGTAAACATATGGACCATCTTCGTTGTATTTTCTTGCTTCAACATTCTTTAATTTATTTGCTATATTTATTGTTTTACCTGTACCTATTGTTTTCAATAGTTTTAATGTCAATCTCGCTACATGTAATTTAGAATTATTTTATTCATTTCATGTCGTACGTGCAAGATCAATTTGGTTAATTTTAGTATCATATATTGATAGCGATTTCAATAGTTGATTCAATGTCAACTACATGTATTATTATCTTATTAATGACGATATTATACTGTTATATGATATTTTATTTCGAAATAGCTGATGTGATTGATCAATCTGGTAAGATGAACCGAATATGTAATGCGAGAGAAGGTATGTATAGTAGTTTTCATGTCTCTTGGCATATGACTGCCCATTCATTCCCAGGTCAAAGCTGTACGGCGGGAACTGTCTGGATCCGTCAGAATTCCCGCGAATTCCTGAAGAGAGACTCGGAAGCCGTATTCCGATTCCGTTTCCGGTCCAATTCCGGAGCATTACTGAATCAGGATTCGAAACACGGATTCGGTTGCAGTATCGCGAACGGATTCTGACAGTGTTTCTGTGTTTTATTTACGAGCTCCAGGATACGGACCGTATCCTGGCGTTTCCTCGACGGCCCATGTCGGTTAATTTATTGGTATTTTNTGGAATTATGTCACGAAAATAATCATCAGTCAAAGACTCGCCCTTACCTTTAATCACCCAAAGTAATCTCTTGCAAGTAAATATAATAAAAATCCCAATGCATACTTGATTTTGGACCATTTCACGGTACCTTTCATCATCTTCAATATCTTCGACATTTAAGGCCCAAATTCTATCATTTTGATAATTCGGTCTACGAACAATCCAGACATAAAACTCGTCAGATGGTGCAAGATGAAAAAAGTCTTCCTCAATCCAATTTTTCTAACCAGTCGCATAACCATAAACGATTTGATATATGAATTTCAGTTTTTAATGGCTTTGCAATAACATGAAATGGCTTCAATCCTTCTCTATGACAATAATTATTGATTGCTCTTCTGCAATCTGTCTCGCCACAACAGAACACCTTTTTCCTTGTCGACCACTTGCTTGTGATAATTTCAGCTTGCGACCGGCGTTTGAATAGTCAGTAAAGCATTGGTCATATGATTTTTCCTACCATTCTGTGACAAAACGGGTTATGCGGCGAATTTTCTCCGCGATCCATTGTCGATTAATAAATGCTGCACCAGCATCGCGAGCTTCACGAAAAGCGATACGTTTATTTTTGTCAATCATTCTTTCTTGTTCAGTATCATAAGTACCAACCATTTTCAGGTTATAGAAATTCGTCGATTTACTAGAAGAATATATTTTCTTTTTATGATTTATATCAATATGAAATAGAGCTTATATACCACTTCACGAACTATTTAAAGTTTTCTCTTTCGTAGCTTTCTTTCAGAAGAAAAACAAAAAAGTCACTATTAATTTCTACCACGAGGCATATATAGCAGAGCGTGAAAAGATAATAATATCCTTTCAGTCGGGGCTGCGTTACATGACCACTTCAGCATACCCTCTTTATTTTTTTTCTGAGAAACTTTCTTGTTTTTGGCCTTTCAAGCCGGTAAAAGCAGCTTATAACTTTTGTATTTTACAGAATTATATAAACTTCGAAAGTTTGATACGCTAAGGTCTTCATAGCCCTCACTTTTTAGTATCAATAAATCCCATTGTTCACGGGCTTTCATATGGTATAAAATTCATCATCTACTCCATTTAAAATGATGGTGTTACCCTCCTGGAATAATATTTTTTCCAACCGTGTACTAGCGGGCATTGAAGACATATTTACATTGAAAAATGACCTTGCAGAGCGAAAGACGCTAAATGTAGGCATGGATATTTCAAAAAA